TTCATAATAAAAGAGTGAAATTTAATGATGACGAATGACATTGGAGGAGGCCTATGTTTAACAGTGGACGTCCTATGCCTGAAATGATGATGATGATGATGATGAACTTACCAGGGTGAACAGTCAGCACCAATTCGTTCCTGGCTAAGCCGGCTGCGTTGCCCGCTATACAGCCGTACCGGTCCGAATCACGCTCCGTCGCGTTCTTTATAAGTAGCGTCCCGTTGTTTAGGAGGAGTACCCTGGAATATATTGATAGGTTTTAGTTGTCACTTTAATGATTCATAATCATAAATGATTTATCTATCTATCTACGTCGGCCGTTTGGTGTAGTGGTTCGAAGTGGACTACTATTCCGGAGGTAGCGGGTTCGATTCCCGCACAGTACAAACATTTGTGTGCATGAACATATTTGTTTGTATTGGACTGGGTGTTTTCTATGTATAATATGTATGTATTTACAAAAAAAAAACTATTTAAGTATGTTTATATCCGTTGTCTAGTACCCATAGTACAAGCTTTGCTAAGTTTGGGACTAGAAGCGCAGTGTAAAATGTCCAAGGATATTTATTATTATTCCTTTATTCATCTTACTTTCTTATTTTTAATTTTTTCTTTTTACAATGTAATTATTATCATTATTATTATTATTATTTATTATCATTACTTCATTTTGTCTCTACTGCAGGAGTACGACTCTCCCTCTCGAATTTAGTTAAGCATATTGACAGTTATTTTTAGAAAGTCGATTTTAAACACGAAACATTGACGAATTAAAGCTAGTGCAGTACCTTGCAGTGGAAGCATTTACTCCACCCTCAACGTCGACGCCTTCTTCTGAAAAGAGATACAAATATTGGATCATAACATACGAGACGAGACACACATTAAAGGCTTCCACAGACCAAACGCGGGTCAGAAGCAGTGCGGGTCAGTTGCAGCGCGGCAGTAGGCACACTGAAGGCAGCGGCAGTTTCAAATCAGTTGCAACGCGGGCGGTTGTAAAAAAATACCATATTCGTAAACCGCTTTCAACGCGCTGCTACCGCCCTGCCTCCGGTGTGTCATGCTAATATGGCCGCCATAGTAATACAACAGCGCGGGCCCGCGCTCGCGCCGCTTCTGTCCCGCACCCGCGCCGCCTTGTTTGTCGTTCGGTACTCGGTGCGGTCCGCTCGGTTGCAGTGCGGCGCGGTTGGAGCGCAGGCCCCCGTTTAAATGGCAATGCCAGATTTTGTATGGAAGGTGGCGTCTTTTTTTTTCGCGCGGCCATCGACCAAACTTTGTTTTTTGATTACAAAATAGTGTAATAAACCAAACTTACTATGACATGTATACCTCTAAACTCAGTCTGAACTGAGTTACGAGCGTTAGAAGTTTGATAATTTACATACTAGATTTGCTTTTTGCGCGCAAGTTTTGTAAGAAATTGCAACAAAATATTGCGCTAATTTTTTATTGAGCTGATTCTGCTCCACACTGATGTCTGGAGCCTTTAATGGATGGTATTGTTTGTTCACACATACAATGTCACTATTTTGTTGCAATTTCTTACAAAACTTGCGCGCAAAAAGCAAACCTAGTATGTAAATCATCAAACTTCTAATGCTCGTAACTCAGTTCAGACTGAGTTTAGAGGTATACATGTCATAGTAAGTTTGGTTTATTACACTATTTTGTATCGATTGATTTGATCGATGGCCGCGCGAAAAAAAAAAGACGTCAATTTCCGGCATAGTCTTTTGGTCTGACACACTTCAAAGAGTTTCTTGTATTACATCTTCCGCGTGTCCGCATTCAAACAGCGCTGCTACTGCCCCGCGTTTGGTCTGCCGAAGCCTTTATGCTTGTACGAAACACGCATCTAAGCTTATACGCGTCTACGCTCGTGTGAGTCACGCATCTACGCTCGTACGAGACACGCAACGCTGATACGAAATAGGGGTTTATAAAATGTGATCAAACAGACTGAGTAACTGAGTTTCTTCCGCCACTTCTTCTCAGCACCAGTTCATAATATTGTCCCAAAGTAGTGGCAGGGTAAGCTATACTTGGGACGTGTAGTAGGTCTAGGATGCGCGCCGCGATAAGCTTTTATCGCGCCATTTCATCGATTTTACGCGACAAGTTTGTCGTCTAAAATCATCGATGACATAGTCACGGCGCGCATCTTAGCCCGGCTGGAAAAGGCATAAATCTATACTAATATTATAAATGCGAAAGTAACTCTGTCTGTCTCTCTTTCACGCCAAAACCACTGAACCGATTTTGATGTTTGGCATAGGGATAGTTTGAGTCCCGGGAAAGGACATAGGATAGTTTTTATCCCGGTTTTTGAAACCGGTACGCGCGTGATAAAGTTTTTCTGTGAAAGACAAAATTCCACGCGGGCGAAGCCGCGGGCGGAAAGCTAGTACTGAATAAATGATTTGATTTGAGACTCACGTTGTAACTTCAGCATGGTCCGATTCCTGTCCCACTGGGTGGTGGGATGCGGGTCTCCTGTGGCTCTACAGTTCAGTACCACTGTGTCCCCAACGGACACGTGCGTTTGCTGGCCGGACGCGGGTTCGATTACTCGCGGTGACACTAGGAAAGAAGAGTTAATTTTTACAACAGTGAATAAATTGAATTTGAAATTTAAAAAAATATTTATTCAGTATCTTTGAAGTTAACATATTATTATTGTTGAAAGTGGCTGGGGTCTCTTTTTAAGTATAATACCTGTAATAGGAGGCCCCGCTCTTTCTTAAAGTTACGTATGCGTATTAACAGTACTTTAAAAGCTAGAGTGGTTATTATGGTCAGTTGATTAGACTGGCCAAAAGGACGAAAGTCTACCTCAAGGATTTCCACAACGACCGGTCCAGCGTTGCCCGCATTAAAGCGCTTCCTGCTACCTGCACCATATCGTCGTTCCAGTGAATTCGAGCTACACTACGAGTTCCTGCCCATCGCGCTGAATGTGATACTCATCATCATCATCATTTCAGCCACAGGACGTCCACTGCTGTACATAGGCCTCCCCCAATGCTTTCCATGTTGATCGATTGGCGGCCTGCGTCCAGCGCTTCCCTGCTACCTTTATGATGTCGTCGGTTCACCTACGCCTCCGATACTCGATACGGAACGCAGTACGGAACGCGGTACGGAATGTGATACTGTTCTTTCCCATAAACCATCATCAGCACACTGCCACTCACTAAGGCGGAGAGGAGCGGAGACGAGGAATGTGTTTTAAATACGTCCACTGTTAAACATAGGCCCCAATGATTTTCAGATTGGCCGGTTGGTAGCGGCCTGCATCCAGCGCCTTCCTGCTACCTTTATGAGGTCGTCTGTCCACCTTGTGTCTATATCTTACTCACCAACAATATCCAGAGTGATTTCGGCTGCTATGGAATGGTCTCCATCCACAGCCTTGCAGGTGTACTTCCCAGCGTGACGTCATCACCACTAGAGTCCCTTTGGATGACGTCACATCCTCTGAGAGAGGATCGTTCTCTATTCATCACCATCATCATTTCAGCCACAGGTCGTCTGCTGAACATAGGCCTCCCCCAATGATTTCCATGTTGGCCAGTTGGTAGCGGCCAGCATCCAGCGCCTTCCCGCTACTTTTATGAATGAGGTCGTCCGTTCACTTTGTCTTTATCTCTTACTCACCAACAATGTCCAGAGTGATGTCGGATGCTATGGAGTGGTCCCCATCCACAGCCTTGCAGGTGTACTTTCCAGCATGGCGTCTGGAGGCGTCCACTACTACGAGAGTCCCGTTGGATGACGATATACCCTCTGGGAGAGGGTCGTCTTCGTTCTGCAAATTAAAGAGGCGAAATGTTAGTGATAATCACAATTATTCAGATTATTACATAAGGTTAAGGTTATTTCAAGGTTTAAGGCTTAATAAGACAAGGATGCGTGGTCAGTTCAGTCTGCATTATTTTGATGTAACCCTAACCATGCAACATTGCTTTGGTGAGTACTGCTCTTGGTCGAAATGCAAGTAAGGGCATCTTCTAACCACTCAGTCCATTGTAGATCGCACAGCACTCCAAGGTTCAGAATTCAGATTATTTGTTATTCCATGTTCTGTCCCGTTAACCCTTTAGCTACCTAAACTAATTACGCTTATGTTAGTGTGGAGTTAGTTCACCACTTCATCGTCCAGCGATCTACCTGCCCTAGTATCAGCAATCCGATACTGACACCGTTTGGCTATGGTCACTATTGGTCACCTGTTTGAACCAAGTGTAAAGTCCGGTCGCCGAGCAGATAGAATTTCGTCCAATGAACCCAAGCTACCCATCCTTATCGCTCGCACGTATTATATTGCTGTCGCGACTGTGCGACGGGCGGCCGCAGTGAGTGTGCGAGCGACGAAATTCTATGTGCTCGCCGACCGGTCTTTAGTTGAAACTTACCAAATACCATTGCACAGTGGGTGCCACTCCACCAGCAACCTTGCAGTGGATCTTGCCTGAACTGTTCAGTTCCAGTTTCTTGCTGTACGGCTCTGGCTCGAAACGGAGTTTGCCGTCTGTTGGGGAAACCAATTTGGACTTTAATGACACCCTATGTAGAGTTAGCTACAGAAACTTTTGTTTAAATAAATTGAAGTCATCATCATAAGGTCATTTAGTCTCCACTGTAGGAGGACAACCCATTCTGATTTATGATTATGAAGCGCAGGATATTTTAAGGTGCGCAAACGACACTCGTCTCTCCCTTCTCGAATCAGTGGAACGGAAAACTGCTACGTCTGGAAGAGAGGTCAGATGATGTGTCTGGCCGGTGGTAACTAACCCTAAACTAAGCCTTGCTGAATCGTCCAGACCTCCATTTCTGATTTACCAGAGACATGGAAGATTTTACCTTAGCTTAATTTACACACAAAATTTAAGTGATATGAAAAATTACTGCCGAATAGTTTCAGCAGAGAAGAATAGGATTGGTCCTATTGGAGTTGGCTCCATTCCTTCCGTGGATGTCGTATGAGGCGACTAAAGCCCGGTCTGTGAGCACGTAGAATTTTGTCCATTGGGTCATTTGACAAAATTCTACGTGCTCGCAGACCAGACTATATGAACAAATATGCTATCATAACCGACGTGGGGAGTGTAGGCTAACTCCTCCATTTGTCTTTTAGTTAAATTAGAGATTCGTGTTCCTGCGGTAGAGACTGAAAATGACCTGATGATTATCACACCATTCACACCCTAACTTGGCCTTCAATGGTTAAGTTTTTACTGGCGATCAAGCTGCAGATCCTGGCTACACAGGAGTTGCAGCGGTGGGAACGAGAGGTGGGAATAGTCCCGACATATGGGAAAATAATCAGTCTGTATAGACTTGTATTTATAAACAAGTACTATTAAATCGTTATCATTTCTTAGCGAATAGAGTCGCTTCTCAAACTAAATTTTAAATAAACAACTTGAAAAAGTCTAACTGCTTAAGGTGGGACTCGAACCTACGACCTTCCGCTTGCCGGGCGACTGCTCTTCCAACTGTACTATTCAATTTATACGTAACCTTTGCGCCAAATTACAACAACACAACACATCAAGACATATTTCGCACTTTATTACCAGAACACTGCGCACTAAAATAATCTCCGTAGTGCGGTGCAGTAGTAGCTATAACGTTAACGGTTGTCGTAAACCCTTTATTCAGGATCAAAGGACTTCGCCACTAGTGCGGACAGTCCGCCATTAAGTGGCAGGGCTGCCACTTCGCATAACTATTAAAATTATAAATAAATAAAACCTGAAACATGAAATATGATGCGAGATTCTAAGGAACAAAATACAACATAAGAACAAAATTCCAGAAATGGTGAACCAATTGGTAACTTTTTCAGAATCCGAAAATGGTGTTTACAAGATGTCTTTAAGTTTATTACGAATCTTGAAAAAGGTTCCCGGGTGTATTTCAAATTCATAAAAAGCTGACATCCTTTTTTATAGCAGAATTGGATTCTCTATGTATTCCAGTAAGCAAGAAAAAGATTATGACAATGAATTGGTGCATGTTACACTTTCACGCAAAAAAGAAACAAAATATACTGACCGGTAAGCGGTAACCCTATGTAAAAAAAAACTGTTTTGTTTTAAACTCACCATTGGCAGCACGATGTCTTCTTCCTTTATGAGATCTGATCCTATGTGCAGAATGGTGGGTCTCTGAAAATAAAAAACAGTTCTAAAATACCTTTGCATGAAATAGAATAATACAAAAAAAAAGTAAAAAAAAAACGAATGTCAAATTCAAAATTCAAACCACGTTCGGAAAAAGAACAAAGGCGTTCAGTTGAAATGATTAAAAAACAAACAATCGCGGCAATGATGTAGACATTCCGTCTGTTTATATTGAAAATAGAACGCGTGTAGCGCCCTCGCTAAGGACATCCGGCTGTATGCTTTTATTCCTTGTGTTAGAAGTGTTAAAAAAAAGAAAATATGTAGACCACAGATAAGCAATCGAAATATTTTTGAAGTCCTAGCTACTTATGCGATTTTTTTTTAAATATTGAAAATAGAACGCGTGTTGCGCCCTGTGCCCTCGCAAAGGACATCCGGCTGTATGGTTTTATTCCTTGTGGTTAGAAGTGTTAAAAAAAAAAGAAAATATGTAGACCACAGATTATAAACAATCGAATTATTTGAAATTGGAAAGCTTTTGCACTGGAAAGTCGAACCTTAACTTCGAACTCCTCCTATGTTCTTCTGATTAATTTTGTTGCGGGTCCAATGACAGTTTAACTTTCCCCCGGGGCCGAACTTGGCCTTCACTGGTTGGGTTTTTATTGGCGGTCAAGCTGTAGATCCTGGCTACACAGGAGTTGCAGCGGTGGGAACGAGAGGTGGGAATATTAGTACCTTAGCTACTTTTTGGCGATTTTTTAAATTGTATTCTTCCTTTAAAAGCTTTCGAATATTCACTGTTATGCTTGACTAACATTGCGATATAAACATGGAACTACTAAACTTGAAAAAAGTTATACAACGGTGTATTTTTCGCGACAAGTTCCAACAGTTTCCAACTCGGAGACATGTTCAGAACTTTAAGAACTTACGAAAGCCTTTTTTCAGCTGTCGCTTACATTCTGTAGGTACAGGCGGCTATTTTCAGGGCACTTTATTCGTTCCAAATATAGTTCTTCGATCGTAACATAAAATTAACGGAATTTGAAGGTTTTTTTTTAGTATTACCGACGAATAGAATCTGTCTTTCTAATTCTAACATCGCGTAAGTCTAAATTAGGCAATTTGCAACTTTTCAGAAGAGCAAATAGGTAATCTGGAATAGCTACTTTACCATACCTACATCAGTGCCATTTCAGTATGTAACTGTTGCTCAATTTATGATCTTAATTTAAAAGTATCTTGTTATTTCTAATTAATAGACTTTTATTACCCTACTAACGAGCTTCAATACATCAAAACCACCCAAAGATTATTGCTACGGTTTTAGGACTAAAGCGACGAAATTTCGTTCACAACAACACCTGCTTGTTTGATTAGGCTCCGAAATTACTGGATCGATTTGTAAAATTCTTTCACCATTACAATCCTACATTAATTCTCATGAACATAGGCGGTACCAAGTTCACCGGTTCAGCTGTCTTATACTTCCAATCACTTTATCAAGCTATCCCATTCACCCAGGCTACTGAACCCCATCGTAGCAAACCAGTTTGCGTAAACATAAACACGCGTTTACGGCGTCGGCACATCAAACGGTTATTCTTAGCGATGCTGCGACCAAAGCACAGGATATACAATGGACAAAGCGAAATAACGACAAATTCAAAATTAGAATACTGGTGCGGGACAAAAGACGAACGCGGTATAAATTCAAAATTAGAAAGGAATAAAAATTATCTTCATTTGAAATTAGAATTGATGAATCGTCATTTGTTTTTTTTATACTTAATCACTAAGTAACACGAGTACACGACCCTTTTGTTATTTTGGAGAAAAGTCCTGAAAGAAAGTATTTGTTTCACACAAAGAAAAATAAATGAGTACAGAAACAGAAACCAAAATGTAAGTTAAAAAACTTCCTTGCTAGGGATACATTTTTTTTGTCAAAAAGCGCCTGCTTATCATCAATCAAAAGAAATTTGAAACCGTGTGCCATGTCTTAAGACTGATTTTTAGCAAGTGCCTTAGCGTGTCTATTTTATTTTATTGTTCAAAGAATAATGTAGAAAAAATACTCTTTCTTTCTCCACTGTTTTCTCTCCAGCATTAAGACCTCTACTTTTTAAAACATAAATCAAATGTGTCCAATTTCCATCACAACTGGCAAACACCCCACCCAATCTAAATACGTCAGGGCCTGGTAGCTGTCGGTCGGCGTCGAACCCGCGACTCCCGATCAATTAACACCTGCCCATTACTGGCACTACGGTACACTAATATTTGGGAGTGCATCCCTGTTGGATACAGTACCAATCTGCCTTAAAACATGTATGTATAGGTATTTTGCTTCAGTAGTCCCTGAGAATTTTGTAATTAAAGTTATAAAAGTCATAGTCATAAATGTTTATTTATTGCATCATGTTTGGTACATTTCGATCATAAAGTAGGTATGTTTTAAGGTCTTAAAAAGCGCTCTTACATGTCCCAGTCCAGTGTACAATTTTAACCCTACCATTTCGCTTTGGTGGAAACCAGGCCTAAGGTGGGCAGTGCAGTGCTGAACTGCTGATGCAATAAAAAAAACCGGACATTTGATGTTCCTATCCTCTTGCAATCAAAGAAAAGCGTGGATAAAAACAACTCTATCCCCTTTACCAAATGCAACCTTTTTCATTGCACGTAGCTACAGTTGCTATACACGCCAAAAAAGAAATACAGATACTGCTCCAAATTCAAAATCTGTTCGGAAATCGTTTAAAAAATACGACACCCCAGCGCCGCGGCGCGCAATCGAACTAAATCGTAATGGCGGCGTCGCCATGGCAACCCTCGTAAAATTTTATGATCCGCGCCCTCGACGTTTGAAAAGCCACTTTGCGCGGGCTGCCGGCAGCGAGATTAGGGATTCGGTGCTCAACTACATTTGTAATCGGATAGTCTTTAGTGGATTCTGGAACTAGATCTAGCACTCGAGGTTGGAGCTAAAAAAATCCCTTTCTTATAAAATGAAAGAACCGAATTCCTGCCATTAGCGTAAGCTATTTTATCCTTTGATTTATTGGATTAAGGGTGGATTCGACTAAACAAGAGTAAATATTAATCTCAGAATAAACTTGTCATTTTATCATACTGAAACTGTCAATGTGCCAAAAGAAAAAACAGCCCTTAGAGTACCAGATACCAGTGAATCAATTCATCAATAGTGTATTTTCCTTCATTATTGTTGGGCATTTTCCAGACTGCCATATAAGGGTTATTCTCTTCCTCATTATAATTATAATCCTCATAATCTCCTGTGTTCCTATCTGCATCGGGTAGATACTCATTATGCTATAAACGTTAACAGGTTAACCTACACCAAAATGTCAAATATCATCGAAAGCTTTTGAACTTTACGTCTTACTAATCACCTAATAACGTAATAATAAGGCACAAAATTAATTGAAGTAATAATTGAAGACAATTTGGGGACTCATGAGCATATGGGCACAGAACTAAAGGCCTAATAATCAACAGGAAACCCAGAGATGCATAATGCATAACAACTGTAATATAAATGTTACAGGAAATGTATGAAATCCAGGAGTTGTATAAAATCCTAGGAAATGTATTACAATTCCGAAGTTATTTAGGAAATATATAAAATATGGATTCAGAGATTATTTAATACGCACATATCCTAGGAAACGTAAACATATCCTAGGAATTTTATAGAATTCCAAAATCGTATTAGGAAATGTATAAAACGACCGCTATGTGTGAAAAAAACACGTTTTAAAAGATGAATCAGAGTTTTTATTAAGTGAGACCCTTATGATCCTTATATCAGACAATTATGTAACAATCATACAGTATGTAATATCTTTACTTGTTACTTCAAGGATCAGAGATTTTATTCAGGCTCTCATTCAGACAATCAACGCTATTTGGATCAAATATGTAATTGCTCAATAATGAATAATAAATAAATAAATAAATAAAATAAATAACTAACAAACGGTTTATAAATTATAATAAATGTATCTTCATACTTCTTAGGAAATATAGTTTTATGTCCACGCGTATTCATTGAAATCTTAAATATATTAAATTTCCGTTTGCTGTTTAGGAAAAGTATAAATTTCCTAGGAAATGTGTCCAATATATTTTACATCACATATTTCCGGATGATTTTAGGAATTATACACAATTCCTAGGAATTGTATACAATGACGGATTTCATACATTTCCTGTAACATAGACACAAATCAAATCTTTTATTCAGTACTTAGGCCCTCTCCAGGAAGCTTATACACGTCCCAAATATAGCTTGCTCTACCACCACTTTGGGACAACATTATGGGCTGGTAATGATAAGAGGTAAGCAAAAATAATCAATTCTTTTTTGTTAAATAATACATCACAATATTAACATTAATTAAAAAATTCACGCCTGTCCAAATAAACTCGGCTGGAACCTCAAAACTTAATTACTCGACTGCACTTTGTTATATAATTAAACCCACCCCCAACCCCATAAACTACCCCCTAAAAGTCGTAAACTGTCAGGCTTTGAGCCCTTGAATGTACTAGTGTTGTTCCGTTTGCCCGCATATCGATAAATTCTTTAATGTCCATTAGCAAAACTATCGTAAAATAATTCTCGGTTATGGTGTGAGACTCGAGAAATAAAATGAACATAGATATTTGCGACGTATAGGAAGCTATAAACGAGATCTGAACGTAGGCCTGTCCGGCAAATCATTGGGGGAGGCCTATATTCTGCAGTGGACGTCCTATAATAATAATGATGTTGATTCCCTGATTATAACAATGGAGGGAAGTCGAACCTTAACTTCTAACTCCTCCTATGTTCTTCTGATTCATTTCGTAGCGGGTCCAATGACAGTTTAACTTTTTCCGGGACAAACTTGACCTTCACTGGTTGGGTTTATAGGAGGTCAGTTGCAGATCCTGGCTACACAGGAGTTGCAGCGGTGGGAACGAGATGTGGAAATAGTCCCCCGTGATTATAACAAAAACTATAATGAATGAAT